TCAGCAGGAGTCTCTGCAATACTGCCAGGTGCTTTGGAAGCCAAGCGTAGTAATTGCTCTCTGCGCAAGGGCTTGACCTTTGTGTTCTTTGTCAGATTTAGATGCTGAAGTAAGATTTTTCACTATCAGCCAAAGTTCAATGGCCTCACCTCCAAACCTATGATCTTTAACACTTCTTGGGAATCACAGCGTGAAACTAATCAGTAAGGAGAGTGAAACCAGTTAGCATTCCGTAAGCTTTCTCTACTCGAAAAATTCTACAGAAACAGTACGCTGATCTGGATGGATGTCAGACCAATGTACACCCTTGCCTGTGCAGTTTATTAAAGGATAGTCCTCATATTCTTCTGTGATCGGATTTGGGAGAGGACTAATATAGGGTGGTGAGGCACTGGGACAGGTTGCCCAGAGAAGCTGTGGATGCCCCATCCCTGGAAGTGTTCAAGGCCAGGCTGGATGAGGCTTGGAGCAACCTGGTCTAGTGGAAGGTGTCCCTGCCCATAGCAGGGGGGTTGGAACTGGATGGTCTTTATGGTCCCTTTCCAACCCAAACCATTCTGTGATTCTGTGATTCTAATGTGAGTTTTGAGATTCCCCATGTCGATGTACTTCAAGAAGCAGCCGTGTGATCTCACAGATGCTCTAATCCGTGCACATACCACAGAAAACAGACTGAGGGGGCAAAACAGCTCTGGAGATACATACATGGAGGCCTGTTATACCACTGTAGTAAACGCAGCATACAGAACTGACAACTAAGTAAAGGTTCTAACTAATTCCTGGAATATGAAACAATTGTTGTGAAACATGGTGTCTTTGCAGCCTAAATTTCACTAAGATGTAGTGTTGATTAAGTGTTCTCCCATAGAGGGTAATAATCACTTTTCTCATTCCATGTGTCAGCCCTTAGGCCCACTGATCTGTCTATTTAGAAGAGCTTTCCTTACCATGTCCATGTAAGTTTACAAACCAACAAACCACAGCAAAAACACAAATTGAGTAAACTCTGCATTTTTGGGACCACAGAAAACACAGCTGCCCATCTAAGCAATAAAAAAACCCTTCAGTGTTACACAGTATCTGTCTACTTTGACATGATGTTCAGCAGCATTCATACTGAACAAGGTAGGACTGCGGTTCAGAAGTCTACTGACACAGAAACATAATGGCCTTACTGACTCCTAGGCCTCTGTAAGCTTTATCACTTGTTAAGGCACAGAATAAAGTGAAAGTGCAAGCATGAGCAAGAGGTGTGTTATTTAATCCTACAGTTTTAAACTGGCTAAATCAGCCAGCTTTCTGAATACTCCCATCACAAACATCTGATTCCCTAGCACACATCACACACGTGCCCACCACACACACCTTTCTTCCCTCCTCCTAATTCTCACTCTGTTTTCTACTTGAGGAATAAGGGGTCAGGGTCATACACGGCCTCGCCCAGCATTGCCACTCCCAGCCTCTGTGACAGTCTGCGCCCTCCCAGGACACGGGGAGCTTCATCCTCACATACCTTCTTTACTGCAGCTTGGAGAGTTGCTCAAGTGCTCCCCATTTCCACCTTCTGCATCCTGGGTCACTTCTGCAAGGACAACAGGCAATACTTAAGACAACCTGGGAGCCCACCACACTTCCCCTCTCCAGCCCAGATGGATCAAGACATTCTGACTGAGAGCTGGGCCATTTGTTCACCATCAATAATAGCCCTGACCAACATCCCCCACACCCGTGGGGCCATCATATAACACCTCCCCTCTCTCCTCCATACCCGACTCTGCACTGCCCTCAGGATCCCTTCCAGACCCAGCGAAGGCCAAGCACACAAGGCACTCAGCGCCTATGGCGTCACCCCTAACTTCACATCAAGAAGCGTTAGGTGAAAGTCACGACAAAGACCGCTCCATAGCACACGCATGTACCTCCTCCGTTTACACCATGGTCATCTGCATGCTTGGCCAGCAAGCTGCTGTTCTCCTCCTTGAAGTTGTCTGCGGAGAGACCAGAAGACAATTACAGTCCCTTGCCCTGCTCATCTTCAAGGTACTGGCTATTGCATAAGAGTGAGTTACTAGCTAGAGCTCAACATGTTGCCAACATCATCAGCTAACAGCACAATGCCAACACCTTCTCCCCAGGACAGGTCCCCAGTGCAGAATAGGCACTCATTTCGCTCAGGTACACCATGGTCAACTGCTCGCTTGGATGTCAGGGTGCTGTTCTGCATGGCAGAGGTGCCTGAAAAAGACATCACAGGACAGCTACAGTCCTCTGGAGTGTATCTCACTACCTAACTTCACAGGGGTATCAGTCATTGCTTAGAGGAGTCACCAGCTACAATTCATAAGACACACAGAATCACTCAGGTTCACTCGAGGAGGGAGCCCAAGAGTTCTCTAACCCAACACCCTCCTCAATGAAAGGTCAACATTCAGTTCCAGACACGTTCTCCAGTCAGGTCTTAAAACCCTCCAAGGGTAGAAGCTCCATGACGACTGCATGCAGCCTGCCCTAGTGATTACTTATGCTTAGAGGCAGAAATCTTTTTCCTCATCTCCACACAATCTCCCCTGCTTCAGCTTAGGGCCATCATCTTGATATCCTGCTCATACGCCTCAGTAAACATCCTGGCTCAGTCTTATTATCGATAAACCCATAGGTACTGGCAGCTGCTGTGAGGTACTCCCAAATCCTGCTCTGCTCTGGGGTTGAACAAGCCCAGTTTCTTCAGGCTGTGCTCCAGCCCTGACCACAGTGGTGGCACCCTGTTGAACTTGCTCAAATTTATCAGCGCTTTTCCAGCACTGGGTGAGCCACAAACTAGATGTAATACTCCACATATCATCTAACAAGTGTCAAGTAAAGGAAAATAACCACTTCCTTCAATCCACTGGCTTATGCACTTCTTAAAACAGCCTAGGATGCTATTTGCCTCCTTTGCTGCCAGGAAGCACTGCTGGCTCATAGCGTACTGTCCGTAAGGACTCCCAGGTACCTTCCAGCAGAGCTACTTCCCTTCCAGTCAGTCCTCAGCCCGCACGCAAGGTGTTGGTCCAACCACCCTGCACGGCCCCTGCAGAATTTCAAGAGGTTCACGCAGGCCTCTAGCCCTCCATCTCCCTCTGAAGAACAACCCTGTCCAACCTACCGCACTCGACATTTTGCTGTCATCTATAAACTCAGTGACACCATTGTCAACCCCTTGTCCAGGTGGCCTCTGCAGTAGTCCACTTGCCACTGGCATCCATGTGGAGTACAACCCATTAACCACTACCTGCAGGCTTGACAATCTAGCCAGTTTTCTACCCACAGACAGGTAAGACATTCATCCAGACTAGGACGTTGTAACTAGGACTCAGACAATGATGAGTGACACTGCATAAAAAGCCTTGCTGAACTCCCAAGATATGTGGCACCCATCATTCTCCCCTCACCCGCAGATCAAGTCATGTCCCCCAGAAAAGACTGCCAACTTGGTTAACTGCGATTGACGCTTACTGCCAGTCACCATCTTTCTTCTGTGACCGGAAACATGTTCCAAGAGGGCTCGTCCCCTGATTCTCTCAGGGATGAAAGTGAGCCTGACTGACTGTAGTTCCACAGATGGACCCGTCAGCCTTTTTGGAAGACAGCTGCAATGTTTCCCTTCTTCCAGTTGTCTCAGATCTTCCCCAACATGACTTCTGAAGGTGATAAAGAACACCCTCACGATGACATCTGCCAGCTCTTGTAGCAACCCCTGTATCAGATGCCACGGACTGTTTTGGGCCATCGTTTCTCCAGAAATTCCTCTTCTGATCCTCTTCCATTACTAGCAGATACTCTCTTCCCCAAACCTGCCTCTAGGCAAAACCACCACATAGACTGTCAAGATGGAGGCAAAGGCAGCACTTGGTATCTCAGCCTTACTTATATCTGACATCAGAGAATCAGGTAATGGTTGGTGTTGGAAGGAGACTCTGGACATCATCTTGTCCAAACGCCCAGTTCAAGCAGACAAATCTAGAGAAGGCTGCCCAAGCCCATGCCCAGACAGCTTCTGAATGTCTCCAAGGATGAATACTCCTCAGCCTCTCTGGACAATGTCACCCTGATGTTCACCAGATCCTCTTACATTTTAGATGGTGTCCATCGCCCCTTGTTCTGTCACAGGGAACCCACAGAGAAGAGCCTGGCTCCCTGTTCTTAGTTTGCTCCCATCTCATTGATGAGATCCCCCTGAGCCTTCTCTTCTCCAGACTGAACAGTGCCTCTCAGCCTTTCCTCACACCAGAGAGGATATGACAGAATCCCACAACGGTTGAGGTTGGAAGGGAACCTTAGAAACCACCTTGTCCTATGCCCCTGCTCAAGCAGGCTCAACTACAGCAGGCTGCCCAGGACCCCTTCCAGTCCCTTAATCATCTTCGTGGCCCTTTGCTGGCTTCTCTCCAGTAGCTCCATATCTCCCTTGTACTTGGGAGCCCGGAACAGGACCCCATGTGTGGCCTCACCAGTGCTGAGGAGAGGAGAAGGATCACCTCCCTCACACTGCTGGCAACATTCCTCCTAATGCAGCCCAGGATACCCATAGCCTTCTTTGCTGCAAGGGCACACTGTTGGCTCCTGCTCATCATCTTGTCCTTCAGGACCCCCAGGTCCTCTACTGAGCGACTGCTTTTCCAGCTGACTGGCCCCCAGCATATACCACTGCATGGGGTTATTCCTCCCCAGGTGCAGGATTTTGCATTTCCTTTCGCTGAACTGCATGAGGCTCCTGCCAGCATGTTTCTCCAGCCTGACAAGGTCCCTTTGGATGGCAACACATCCCTTTGGTGTGTCAGCCACTCCTCCTGGTTTTGTATCATCAGCAAACTTACTGAAGGCATACTCTGCCCCATTATTCACATCATTAATGCAGATGTTAGAGGACTGGACCCAGTACTGACCCCTGGGGTACACCACTAAATACTGGCCTCCAATTAGAATTCATACCAGAGATTACAACCCTCTGATCTCAGCCACTCAGCCAGTTTTGAGTCCACCTCACTCACTGCCTGCTCATCTATAGTCTATACTTCACCGGCATCAGATCTCACTAAATCAAACCCCTGTTCAGCAGCAGGCCCACGTTTTCCTCATTTATTCTTTTACGGACAACCTAGGAGCAGAAGCTGCTCTCGTTGCCCTGGTCATCCCACTGTAGTTTCAAGACTCCCTGAGGCTTGGCTTTCCTGACACCACCCTTACCTGCCTGGACAGTGTTCCTAAATTCCTCCCTTGTAGCCTGCCCCTGCCTCCACACCCACTATAAGCACTTTTTGCACTGGAGCCCTGTCAGGAGCTCCCTGCTTGGCCAAGCTGATCTCCCGATTTGCCTGCCTGTTCTCCTGACCACCAGGACGGCCTGGGCGCATGCTTTCCTCACTCCTCTCAGGATCTGGAGTTGTTTCGTGGTCACTACAGCCAAGGCAGGCATTTGTGACCACATCCCCATCCAGTCCTTCTCTGTTAGTGAGCATCAGATACAGCTGCACATCAGCCCTTGCTGGCACATCCAGTAGCCTGTGTGAAGAAGTTGTCCCTGACGTTGGCCAGAAGCCTTCCTGACTGCTGCAATTGTGTTGCCTTTCCAGCAGATGTCAGGGAGGTTGAAGACAGAGATGCACACAGATGCACACACGCACACAGAGTACTTTCACCAGAGACAGCGAAGGACAGCCTGACTCCATTTCACAGAGCAACAATCTCTCCCAACCAAGCTTCCCCTTGGCAAAGCTTCCTCTTGGTCACATCAACTCTTGCTTCACGTGCACACTCGGGCACTGGAGGCCCCCTTGCAGAGATCTCCCAACCGGCGGCATTAACCAGAAAACCAGAAGCCAGCACTTCAGCAGGGACTGCCACCTAACCAGTGCTCTCACTGTTGCAGGCCAGGTGTTCCTTGTGTGCTAGGCTGTCAAGGTTAACTCTTGGAATAATACAGCAGTCCAGGCATTTTTAGTGTGTTCAGCTCTCTTGATCATGATCTGTGCACACTGCCAATTTAGCAAGAACACTCAAGGTTTGGAAGGTTTGACAATAAGGGATGGGGCTCCTGGCTTATCGAAAGTGGGAGGGTACATGCCCATTGGTACCTCACCAGTGTCCTTGTAAGCTGAGAACTGTTTTGGTAAATCAGCAGATATTTAAAAATCTCGTCCTTTTTGCGAACTTTGCTCATTAAAAGCTCATTATAATACTAAAAATCATTCCCATAAGTCAAAAAGACCCTTGCCCAGGTGAAGACCCTTCCCCTGAGCATGTGCAATAGTGGAAGCAATGCGTCAATGGTATTATAATTGTATGTAAATCACTAACCAATCATTGTAAAGCGGGTGGACTTGGAAAACTATTAACCCTGAAAGCTTTGTGTATAAAACAGCAAAAGAACGCTGTTTGGTGTGCATGGTAGGAGGAGAGATCACCTGGTAATAAACCAGTGTTGCCTTTCTAAACTGTCATTTGGTTTGGAGAGTTTTCTTGGTTACAATTTTTGGTAACATCACCTCGCTCCAACTGGGACCATTTTTTTAACTTAGTTTTTTTAAATCCCAGCCATCTCCAAAGACACATCCTTCAAGTCCGTAGGCTCTGCTGGGGTTATTTCCAAGGGTGGTAAAAACCCTTGGAAGACTTGCCCTGCCCTTAACCACAGCCTGAAAGCTGGTTAATTCTGCACCGTTGTCTGCTTGTCTTTCAGGGCAGTGTCCTCCTTGTTCAATTCCTTGTCTGAAAGCAGCTCAGAGGAGAGCTACAGTCCCTCAGGAGCACACTCCACTGCTACTTCCCTACCCCAGCGTAGGTCCAGAGCTCGGCAGCACACCTCCTCCTCTGCAGCTGTGACGTACTGCTGTGCTACCAGCAGAAGCCCTCTTTAAAACTGCCTTGTACACGCACCTCAGAGAACATCACAGCCTTGCCCACTGTTTCCCACCCCCACGGCAGTGACTGCATGCCACGTAGGTGCTGCAGGGTGTACTGTGCACTGATTCCCCCTCCGGATGTTCCCACTCTATACTGCAAGAAGTTAAAGGGTTTTTTTGGTGTTCCTCTGGTGTCCAAACAGACCACCTTTATTTATGGGCCTCATTCTCTTTTGCCTGAACTGTACATCTCCCTCCTTTCTTCCGTAAGACAGGCATAAAATAAACATCCTTCTCCTATATCCAAGTCTCATGTGTGGGAACAGTTACACAAGTGGTAATCCCACAGTGCACCACACCTTTGCCATTAGCTTCACACCCCCTATTCCTTCGGATGAGGAAAGCCGTTCTACGCCCGTTACAACTCGGGCTGGAAGAATAAGCAGCAAAACCCAGGGGATTCTGGGTTCCCTTTTCCTTACTGGCATCATTAGTGATTTTTCCCTTATCAGGAAAAACTTCTGCCTTCTCCAGCCCCTGCATCAGCTACCTATGGAAGAGTACTGGTAGAAGAGTTTAGCAAATGAATCATCAGTGCAACAGACTGGGGAAAAAAAAACCCATATTTTTTTTCTGACTTGAACTATAATGTCCGTATTTCACTACCCCTCTAGAGTAAAAAGAACTTCTAGAAAAAAAATAGAGGTCTCAGAATTTCCTTGAAATTTAGACTGACTGTACTAAGAAAACAAAACCGGGGCTTTGCTTAGCTGCCTGATGAATGCAGCCGAAAGACTCTCCTAGAGCACAACGCAAGTGGAAGATACTGCATCCAGAAATGGTGCTTCTCCAAGGAAAGAAGCCGGCTGTATCTCCCAGATTAGCATTTTGCAAGCTTGGAAGCATCCCATCTCTAAATTGGTGTGTTGAGGCTCAGGTCTAATTGCCACCAACACAAAGCAAGCATCGAAGCTGCAGTATTTTACTATCTTAGGTCCTGCTTGAGGGTTTCCAGCAGAAAGCAAAGATCACCTACCCATGATGCCACACTATAAAAATACCCTTGCATTCTTTTGCATGCAAATAAAAGGTAACGTTAGACAAAAGGGTAATTTGCTTATTTACTATAAAAAGAGGTTCCTTCATACATACTTAGTTCTTTCCACAGATGGTGATTTGCAAGCACAGCACGCAGCACCATTTTCATCGTACCAAGAGGGAAGCTGAAGCCCCAAGAAGGTATTTGCTCAGTGCTGTTTAACACACACAAGGATCCAGGTCTTTCTGACTTCTCATGTAGTGATACACCCATCAACATTTACTGTTCCTAAGGCAACAGGTCTTTCTAGGCCAACAGGGGAATGGTAATCTCTACACTGAGAACAGGCTACTGTGTTTTGGATTGCGAAAGGCCACATGCAAAATTAATTCCCCCCTTCGTGTTCCCCTGTTTTAGGGCACCATCTCACTTGTTACCTGCTTCAGGCTTTTCATCCTCATAATCAACAGCTTGTGAAGATGTAGCTGCAAGCAAACAGAAATCTTCTTCAGAAATGCCTATGGAGGTAGCACAATAGTCTGCGAAGTATGAAACCCAGCCGTAAAGTGAAAGTTCATTCTAACACTTTTAGCAGATATTCCTGAGAAGTGGCATGTTATGCCAGTTTACTGAAGCACTCACAATTAATTTCAAATTCATCTTCCCCCCAGCAACCACTTAGGATCCCAGACCAAACCAACGTTATCCAGCTTCACGCAGAAGCCATCCCCCATTCACCACCAAAACCCCACCGCACACACCCAACACACCAATACAGGTTTCTTACCTCTGTCTGAGTTAGGCTGTTTTTTGACATCCTCAGAGCAAAGTAGCCCATGTTTTCCTGTAACAAAATTTCCTTATATTAGAAAGTATGTATTAACGACCTGGAAAAACCAACTACACCCTGTAAAACAACTAAGGCCTCAAAGAGAAATCATTCTTTTATCTCTCCAACGAAAGACTAACAATAGGAGATGTATCCCAAGCTCTTCACCCTACAGCCACCCCTACCCCTAAGTGGTGACCTGAGCCAACAGGAATTTTCCATGCAGAGCACTCTTAGGATGAAGCTAAGTATTCCTGGTTGGGACTCTCTCAAACACAAAAAGAAGAGATGGTGTGCAGCTCATTTTCAACCCAGAATACAATCAGGCATGCATCAGTTGAGCACACAGAGTTGTCAGAAGAGACTCAGCACAAGGTATTCAACAGGCCCTGGCATAAGCCTGTCCCAACAACAAATCTGATCTTGAGGGCAGCTTTATGATGCTCCCAAAAAAGGCAGTGAAAGCACATGCAGGTGGGAATGGGAGAGGCCATAGCTACTTGGTAGGTAGAAACACACAGTAAATGAAACACCCAGTCTGAAGGAGAAATATGCAAATAGAAACTACAGCGTTTCCCAGTACACGGAGCTCAGTGAATAAGCGCAAGAAAACTCAATATATTATTGTTTTCAAACCTATCAGTGTTTGCTGAGGTTGTACTTCCTTCAACTGCTGTATTTACAATGCATCCCATGGTCAGAAACTTTCATATGTTCTACAGAACCCTATAGCAGCATAATCCTGAGGCATGTTGAGCTCAACTAGGACACGTTATACGTACCTCTTCTCTGCAGGAACACAAGTATTCCCATAAGTGGAATTAAGAGAATGAAAGGCACAATCAGACCATATCTGTTTCTTTTGTGATAGCTGTGTCATTTAAAAAAATAACATAAATAATGATTGGTTAGTTAAAAAGCAACTGTGTGATACACTACTTCAGAAGAAATACCACCCTGAGTATGTTTTATAGCTATTTGTTTTTAAAAAAGCGACCTGAAGAAATCAATGCACTAGAGCCAGTTATTAGCAAAGCCCTAAGCCAGCTCCAGGAAAGCGTCTCCCTTGAACAAAGGCACATTACCGCCTGAAAGGCGATGGCTATTCCGTTTTTTGGCCTATGAAAGGCCAAGCCAGATCTCAGACAGATGAAATTTCAGCAAGTTTCTTGTATTGGGTTTGCATGACAAGGTTTTGGCAGCTGGAAGGCTGCAGGGGTGTCTTCTGTGAGAAGATGCCAGAAGCTGCCCCCATGTCTGACAGAGCCAATGCCAGCCGGCTCCGAGAGGGACCCACTGCCGGCCAAGGATGAGCGCATCTGCGACAGTGGGAGCGTCTCTGGGATAAAATGTTTAAGGAAGGGTAAAAAATGCATTGCAACAGCAGCTGGGAGACAAGAGTGGGAATATGTGAGAGAAACCACTCTGCAGACCCCCACGTCAGTGAGGAAAAGCAGAGGAGGTGCACGGAGCAGAGGTTCCTGGCAGCTGGTGCTGAGGGGGCAGATTGTGCCCCCTCACGGGGGGGCAGAGACCCCCCTGCAGCCCGGGGAGGACCCCACACCAGAGCAGGGGGATGCACCCGAAGGAGCCCCTGACTCCGTGGGAAGCCCAGGCTGGAGCAGGCTGCTCCTGAAGGACTGCACCCACGGGAGGGG